ATCTTGTTTGCTCTCGTAAAAAGTTATTATTGTTTCAGTTCTGAGACATAAACCTGCTCATAGCGCAGATTTTATGAGTGCTATAAGTAATAGATGCAGATAACACAATAGAGCTTGAATAGAGCATAGTTATACAGTTGTGCATACAGAACAAATGTTGAATGTAAAATGTTTATTGTTGTACAACATTCTAATTGTAGTAAATCTACCATTGCAGGTGAAACATGGAACCCAATGAAATTAAAATATCAGTTGAAAAATGTCCGTGAGAGACTTGCGAAAAATCTCGTTGAAAAAGGAGTTTTGACAACGGAAAAGCAGAACTTTTTGCTATTTGATATGACTACCCATCCTTTGACTGATAATGTTGTTAAATGTCGCCTGGTCAAAAAGGTAACTATTTTTTATTATACATTTTATTCTAAACACTCTTTGCCCCATTAACATAATCGTTTTTTAAAAGGTAATAAGTAGCTTGGTAGACCACAACAACCATTTTCTAACTTCATTTCTAAATTTTATGCATCAGGAAATTGCTGTAGTATCTCGCATACTGCCACAGGACCATGAAAGAAGTTACTAGATTCAGATAATATAAAAATAAATGTGCTATCTGCAAACATGAAATGATTAAGTGATTCCTTTTAATATAATTGGTTTCATATGTAGATACACAGATAATGTTCAAAGATAAAAAAAAACATATCAACAAAGGTTGTAACACAACTATTTTTTACATAGAGTACATATTCTTTGTTTACAGTACAATAAAATTCTTTTTAAATCCAAGTGAATTCAATATACTATTTATACTATTAATTTCACAAAACACAAACAGGTGATTATTTCAAAACAATCTTATTGCAATATGAAAGCAATGTTGGAATGGCAAACATCCAAAACATAAGCAAATATTATTGTATTACTTAAACAGAAAGGGGTATCCATGTAATTGGCAAACATTGGAAAATGTATAATGGAAAAAATATACTTTCCATTATGTCATACTAATTTCAGAGTGTTAGATTTTACGTAAAACGAAGTAAAATGCATTATTTATTAGAATAACTAGGTACTTCCGCGCGGTTTCACACGCTCTGCTCAGCTCCTATTGGTCGTAGCGTGATATTTTATAGCCTATAGCCATCCTCGATAAATGCGCTATCTAACACAAAAAAGAATGATTGAAATCAGACTTGTAGTTACGGAGATCAGCGCGTTCAAACAAACTCTTCCGCTTAATATAATTTATTAGAATAATGAAGTGGTATTATTTAGTTACAGTTGAATGTTCGTTGTTAGCTATTTTATCTTTACAGGTTCAAGAAGCAGCTTTGAGGCGTTCAATCACGGATGTTGCTCACGCGGATAAGCGATCACTGGCGCTGTTGATGCTTGCCCATTCAGCTGATGTACTAGAAAACGCGTTCGCGCCACTCTCCGACGAAGATTATGAGTTAGCAACGAGACGCGTGCGCGCGCTTTTAGATCTAGATTTCGAGGCTGAAGCCATGCGACCAGATGCCTGCGAAATTATGTGGGCGGTGTTTGCAGCGTTCACTAAATAGCGGTAAACGCGTGTCGTCATCACTGTTGGCAACTAGGAAATGGTAAATTTTTGTTGAATTAAAATAATACTTTTTAGCCCATTTTGTAAAATCTAAAACCAATATAAATAAACTTGAGCGTCTTTACATTCAACTAATAAAAAGGATCTTTGAATGACACAGCAACAGAAAATTTTATAACAATGGTTTGAAGGTGTTATGTGTGTGCTATGGATGAAATCAACTTGTACAAATACATAAATCATTACATAATGTTGTTTACTCTATAATTTTATTCAACCAGTATTAAATTATTTCATCCAAGTTATGTGAACTTTTGTCAAGTAAAATTATGGGGAGTATTGTATTTTTTTAAGAACTATTCAAAATAACTGTTTCTATGTTCGTTTATATTAGTCATTTGTAAAATCATGAAACTGAAGGGTTAAATGTAGAAGTGTTTGATTGATGTAATTTGTTTGTTTTGGTTAAATAATGGGACGAAAATTGTCTGTACTTACATACTTTTATCATAATAAAAACCTGCATCAACTTGCAGTGACGAAGTCGTGCAAATGAGCCATGTGAAAGCAATGGGTTAATTCGTTAAACATTAACTTAACCCTTCAATAATGATTTTATTCTCATCTAAGTGTAGTTTCTAAATTGTTTTAACTTATATTATAGCACAAAGTTCTTTTAACTTATTGTTTAAAATTATTTGTGTTGAAGCTTGTACAGCTGGAGAATAAAACAACATGCACACTCGATATTGTCGGTACGTAAAAAGCAGTATTTTTGTCTTCTGTTTTAATATAAAGATAATGTATTGGAGACAGAGGCTAGGGGGCGCGGGTGGTTGGGCGGGATCAGTCAAGTTATTTGCACTTTCACTATGTAAGTGCTTGAAGGGATAATTATTCCACTCATTGTGATATAGAACTGCAATAAAATAATATAATAAATGTTACAATATTAAATGCCTGTTACACATTCGTTCATAAGTACTGTCTGCAACACTGAGGAAATGTTATTATTGATAACTAGCTCTTGACACCAACTGTACTAGTTTGCACATGTCTGCATATTTATTTTATGTAACGGTAATGAGATGTTTGTTGGAAATTTTATAAGTGTTTCATATTTATGTTGATCTGCTTTTCAGTAATAAATTGGATAGCCATTTATTTATGTACATTATATTATATTATAAAATGCACATTGGTGTTATACTATGATTGTTTTTAGTTTTTGTTATTCATATTTATTATTCAAATTGTGTGTGGGATGTTTGTAGTCAGAATGCATTATGTTCGTAATAAGAGCCTGGAAGTTTTCTTGCACGTGGGAGTGTGCGAGTTTGTGGTAATTTTGATTATAATATATTTCTATGAGTAACTTTTATATGTGAAGAGAGATGTTGTATGTGTGGCCGAATTAGATTCACGTAACATGACGGCTGGTGTATTTTAGTTTCAAGGTATAACAATATGTCATCTGGGCTTCAATAACTAACGCGCGGTGCTATTTTAATAGCGCACGAGATAACGAGACGAGATTCATATCCCAGTAACTTTAAGATAGTTGGTTCGTTTACTATAATTTAATTAATTAATTTTTAGTTTGTACTTTTAAATATACAAGTGCAACATTTATAACATAGCCATAAACAGACGAGAATATATTCTCTTCATACATTTGCGATAAACGCGAATAACAACAAAATTTTCTGTATTTATATTCAGTTATTCAATGTGCAACGACACTGTTTTGTATAAAAATTTAACAAAAACTATGAGTATTTCATATTGTGTTGTCATTTTAATGTGATTTGTTAGTATCTAGATACGGTTTACTGATCACAGCTAAGGATTCTGTTAAATTATTTGATGCAAAACACTGTATGGTCTACATACGAATCCTTATAATCAACTCTAGTGCTTAAGTTATTGTTAGATTTGGGTTTGTATATAAATACGGTATTAATTTGGTTTGTATATTACCATGAAGCCACAACTATTACGAAAGTCGATAATAAATTCAAAAGTGATGGAGACATGTATAAAATTAAGGTAAAGAATTATGTATCATACACATACTATAGTATTTAGAAAATTACTCAAATATATTCCTTAGTAAATATTATTTGTATTTTTTTTATTTTTAGGCCCCTATAACCTTATCTAAATATTGCTGTTTAACATTCTTTTTGGGATAATAAAACCAAAAATACTATCTACAATTGACTGCCTCGTGAACTCAGTGGCCGTAAAACCATCTATGCAAGGGGCCTGGGTTCGATTTCCGGGTGGAAATAAAGTAATAGAAGTATGGGCACCATGTTAAAAGTTAAATAGTGTTTTTGTGTTTGATAACAACATGCGTTATTCCACTCCTTAGTCGTTAGACTTCCACCTCAGCACCCAGTCATAGTGGATATTATAACACCGTGCCCTGTGGGCTGTGGAACACTGTACGACATCATATCCCAGATACAAACGTGATATTCAGGTAGGCCCCTACTGTGTGATGGTAGGAACGCCCTAGGTTTTCATTTCATTCAGGTCATTCTTCTTCTCCTCCTCGGTGTCTCCCTCAAAAAGTCTAGGGTAAGGTGAGTCTCAAATAAGGTTTGATTATCAATGATAGAGGTCTTGCCTTAGAACCATTTGACATTCTTAATACCTATCTCAAAATTTAGAGGTCCTAGAAAAATTCGTAACTCTGTGTGACATCCCCCGCAAATAATGTAGGTAAGTACTGTTTTATGATTTTTTTTTTCAAGGGGCATTATCATCGAATGACTACTCCAGCCTGCGTGAGGCGGGAGGGAGTGTCAGACTCTTACTGACTAAAAACCACACCGTTCCTTCTCCTGCACTTCAAGCCGGAGCCCCGGTAACCCGTTAGGTTCTCCGCGACACTGTTTTATGCATGGTGATCTTGGCCCTGAACTGGACCTCGGACCCTTTGAATATTTTTTCTCACAGTTTGTAACTTCAATGTAACGACGTTATATATAGTAAATTGTGATCAATTATTGAATGTCTCCGTAGTAATTCAACTGTATTTTATTTACTAGGAAAATAAGAAAAAAATAAATTAGCAGGTAAATACGGTACGTACCTACAGTATGAAATAAATAAATGTTGTAGATATCTATCTAGCGTATAAAATGGAAATAACAACATAACATAACATCACGCCTTTTATCCTCGAAGGGGTAGGCAGAGGTGCACATTATACCACTATACAATGTAATACCCACTTTTCTTTATATATATTATGAGTCCCATGTAATAGGGGGTGAGTCTATTGCCATATACCGGGCACAATTCCAGACTCCGTGCTAGATATTACAGACCCATGCCCGGTAGTCGCACTTGTGACCACTCGGCCAATGAGGCAGTAAAATGAAAATACCAAATTTATATTTTAATATTTTATTAAAAACTCACACTTCTGCCTTCGCACGGTGGATAAGTCTTGTATCTCTTTATATGACATAATTTCAATAACAGTAATTCAGTTCACTTCTCGTTAAACTATATTATACTCGTGTGCAGGATCTTACGATATTAGAGTCATTATCAGAGCATCATTACGTTTGTGATTAGCGCAATATAAATTTATATCTAACAGTGTGGAATTGTATTCTAATATGTCAAAGTAATTAGTGTTTTGAAGGACAATTTTACGTGTTATCTAACAGTTTCCGGCCTATATATACCGGGGACACGACCATAATTACCTCAATTACGCACACAATTGAGTACTGTCTCACTTACATTCTAATAACATGAATTTTTAGTTTTATTTATTTATACTAAAAGATCAAATTTACAAATTACATCTTTGTCTTGTCGCTAATTTATTGTTTTATTCTGTAAATAGAACAGCTTTATTATTTTAGGCCGGAAATCATGATAAAACCATTTCGTAATAGTAAGTATCTAACGTAGTGACGAATAGTTCAGTGATAATATAACATAATACATAGTTTTAAATATTAATCATTCATGCGCAATTCATTATGATTAACCATTTAGGTATACGAATAGTTAAATTGTTAACTATCAATTTGAAATATAACTACATTAAATTTAGACTTTAGGGATTATGCTAGATACAGATAATGCAAGTAAAATAAAAATCAATAAATAAAACGTTTTAACTCTCCACAAATACGCTTGTACCGGTTGGTTCTCTTTCTCACAGCCCAAAGACTCCTAACACATAGGTACTACAGTACTAAATTAAAGCAATATTATCAACTAGGTACCTAATCATATACATTATCTTATTATCTAAACTGGTGTTGACAATAAATAAATAGTCTTAAATAACTTTATGTAGTGGTTGTCGTAAAACTAAGGCGTTTACATGGATGGCAGACCTAAATGTTTACATTATAATGATAATATTTTGTAAACTTAAACTAAATTCAGATTAATAAAAACAAATGCTGGTTTCATTTTGTAGCCCAAATATTAGGAACAAACAAAATTGGACCACGATTCACCTGTTCGGGTACGCACTAAATTAACCTTAACTCACCTAACGAAGTTTAATTCGAATTGATTACCTTTAATAGAGGTCGATAACAGAACATAATAGTCGGCAAATGACATTACTATAAGTGAATACATACCGGACTACGATACTATGTATAGGTATGTGGCAACCTGGTCCTGGCAATATTCAAATGAAATGTAATGCAACACGGTAAAATAATATCAATACCGGATCCATGTTACCTATATTCTACATTTTTGTATTTAAATCTTATGAAATAACTCGTGAAAAATAGTTACAAACTAATAACAATGAAAGTGATAGAAATAGATAATCTTAATAATATTCGGTAGTTGGATATTTGTATCCGTGTGGGATTAACTTATTTGAACATTGTAATACTGGGATAAAGCACGTTGAGATCGTATGTGAATTCATATGGTGGAAGTGGAAGGCGTCCGGGCGGCGGCGGCAGCCCGCTGTCACCAAGCCTCCGTATACCGTATGTCGTACTCCTGGAGGTGGGGTAGACGCTGGCGTAGAACTTCAAATGCTTCAGCTGATAACTTGGTGCTGTTCAGATTTAGACGCCGTAAATTGGAGAGGCCTGAAAGAAGAGAGGTAAATTAATAACGATTTGATTAAACAATCAGATAGGATTTCTAAACTGATGCTGACTGCATTATAAAAAATAGGATACAGTAGTAGGTACTTGTATTTTGTGTAAGTAAAGCCAAACTACTTTGAAATTATATCTACTGAAAATCAATGTATTCAATTGCGACTGGATCCAGCAATTGGTAGCAATTCGCTTCAAACTGACATATATGGAAGTCTTTGGTGGAGACGTATGTTTAGTAATAGATGGTTGTGCGTGATATTGTTAGAAGTGATTGTTAGACAAAATAAAAATATTTACCTGATAATGCCTCTATTCCCTTGTCGGACACGGGCGTCTCACAAAGGTTAAGGACCTGAAGCTTAGGAAGATGCTCAGCAATTAGCTGCACACCGCTGTCGCCAAACTTGGTAGCCCACAGGTTCAAGTAGCGTAGAGATGGCAACTGTACATGTAAAATGATGTAAATAAAATATGTTGGACAAAATGAAAATATTAGCTAGATGCAAGGTGCAAACTATTGGTGGGTCGTCAGTAGAATGACGCACTAACCAACTATTCTATATTTTATTTTCATATTAATATTGTAAAGGTGAGTCCCAAGCTTGGGAACTTGATTTACAGGTTATCAGTATAGCTTATCAGTAGTCCAGATAACTTTGGGAACTCAGTGAGCTAGAGGGTAGTTGCAAATTATGCTTCTCCAACTTTGACTAGTGATAATCAATACTAGATAATTTACAAATGTTCAACTTTACTGTAAAATAATAAGATTGAAAATCAATTGAAGAAATAATTCAGAGTAACTAGTATCATAATGTATTGATGTTTGTACAAAACTGAAAGACTGTTAATACTCTGAGGTGAGATTTAAAGAGACAAAGGTCGAGATTTCAAAACACGATCAAATTTAATGAAAGACTTGGCCTTGCAAGTCGAAGTAAACAAACATTATGTTATCATGCGTCAGCAAAATTTTATTACATACCTTAATGAGGTGATGTGCACATGCGCTGGTGACGCTGGTGAAAGCAAGGGAGAGGCACTCAAGGTTGCCGAGAGCGCCGGCGTCCAACAGTTCCGCAACGTCTGCATCAGTCGCGCGAACTGGCAGCGCTAGTCGACGAGGACCACCTTCTGATTGCTAGAATTAAAAGTAAATGATATATTTAATAATTTTTGTTATGTCTTTAAAATATGTATGCAAAATTAGGATGTCAAACTTAGGTAAGAACTACTTTCACGGGGTAGGCATCTACTACTGATTATTTAAAAACAATTTTATTAATTCAAAACTCACCAGTCGTTGAAGATTTTGCTGTCTCTCGCACAGATCTTTGTAATATTTCTGACCAAGTTCGGTGCCTTGTAATGTAGCAATAATTTCCAATTGAGTCTGCTCTCCAGTTGTGACCTCCCATTCCAAAAATAAACATAGAGCCTCTATAGCAGCTGGCTGTAAGGAAAACCATTAATTAGGTTAGTGAATTAATAGCGCTCACGGCCAAATTACTTAGTGAACAATAGGAGTCAGTACTTACGTGAGCAGTTAATGCGACTAGAACAAAATCGGGAAGCTGTTTGCTCATACTTTGCAGGAAACTTTTCCGTTTACAGCAACAATTGAGTAGGCCTCCCAACTGGAAATAAAAACAAACTAATTAGATAATTCTGTTACCAAAAACATCGGTAACTAATTTGAATGAAAAAGCTTATAGTATTTACCATATCTCCCCAAATCTGACACAATTCTTCGTTTGGCAGAGCAAGCAGCGGATCTGAGGGCGCTGCAGCTCTCAACCAGGACGGTGGGCAGAGCCTCGCGGCTCGGGCGGGGGCCACGCATGCGTGTGCCGCACAGCGTGGGTCATGCGCTAACGCATTCAATAGTTTCCCTAGCCTCTTAGCCACGCGTGGGCAACTCATAGCGCCCGCGCATAAAGGAACCGGTTGCAATACAGCACCTACTACGACAAGCCAATCTTCATACTCGCACCTGACAATTAAAAATACTAATGAGTTTTCATTTATCTGCATACGTTTCTTATTATTACTTTACGCAATTTTTCGTAAAGACCTCATTGTAGTTACATGAATTCGACTTACATGTGTTCCAAGATATCGGCAAAACATAAGACTTCTTCTTCAGACTCATCGCAGACGTGTGGGGTTGCAGAGTCACGGTAGTGGTCATCCAACGCGGCCAGCGCGACTGCAGCAAGATTGGGAGCCGCTCGAGGATATGGGCACGTCGCGCGGTTTCCGTGCGTCACTTCAACGAATCGGCGGACTAGGGAACTGCCCGAGTTATGCGCGCTCAAGGCACTGGAGACAGAAAAATGAAAATTTAAGTTATTCAATAGTTTCATTCACTGCGTTAAAGAAACGGGAGATGACCGTCTCGACAATTGAATATGTTAGGAATTAAGAGGATGCTAAACTGGCATTAAGCCAATTTCGCCACTGTGTCAATATGATCAAAACCGTAATGACAGTCGTTTTGATCAATTGACCGATGTAGGCACTTAATCATTACACGTTTATGTACAAACGCACCTCGATTTGTCATGTTTATATTAGCTCCGTTTGGGTAAATATCTAATAAATTTATATCGGCTAAATGGATGGATCGAAAATAGAGACTTCGACCGTCTGGTTCGCTGGTACGCTATTTATATGCCATGTAGATTATGAATAACTGATGCCCAGTTTCTATACATAAATCGATATTGAATTGTTCTGTTTTATGTGATCGTTGTCGGAATATCGAACTATGGACTGCCAACATATACGTATAAGTTATACTACCGGATATACAGTTGTTTGTTGACATTGCACTTTTAACCTTATTGGTTTCACCACATCAGGTGAGATCGAAGACTATCTATAGCTGTAGCATTATCGTAAAATCCATTGACGTCACTTAAGTATCTACTCGAATTGATTGGTTTTGCTGAAAGCAATTAATAATATGTATTGTAACCAAATGAGGTTACGAGGCTGGTATAAAGTTATGCAGGCCACTAGCATCACTGGGACCATTACTTGATTTTCCCAGTGAACAGTCTAACTGCGAATAAAACGGCAACTAACAATAAGATCATCAAATCGAAATTGTCTTCAGCTGTTACGGAATCTACACGAAACAGACACGAATTTTAACGGTTGCGTTTTCGTTTCGTTTTCGACAACTGTATTTGGATTTATAACCAGTTTTGAATCTATGTCTAATCTATGCTATTTTTATGTAATATTTATAGGTAATACTTACCTAAAAATAGCATAGATTTTTCATCGACATGAAGAAGTAAACGTTTTAATTGTTATTTTTTAATTTCTAGCCGTCGTGGGTCAATGCACTGCGTGGTTGATTCAGACACAATCAAGTGGAACAATATCATTGTCGATATAATTCTAAATAATACAGTTACGTGCGTAGTGTAAGTGTAAAGGTATTATAACTATTGTAAAAACAAAATTTTGTTTTATTTTCCTATGTTTATTAAATTCGGATGCTGATTGACGTAATTCATACAATGTCCATTGTTTATAAATGTTACTATTGTCTAGTAATGTTTTTTTCGGTAGACGGTCATTCTATCCATGATAATATAATATTAAATGTATTTGTTTTAATACTGTTACCTGTGTAGTTACTTTGAAATGTATTAGAATTGAAAATTACCTGATATAATCTCTAACGAGTCGCCTGCCATTGGGGGCTCTGGCGAAGTCTACATTGCGTGTGAGCACCCTTCGTACGGGTGGTGCGAGCGCAGGTAGTGGTGCTGCCCGCGGCCGTCTCCTGCACAAGCGCGCTAGCAGGGCGCACAGGTCGCCGGCCGCGCATCGCTCTGCTAACAGCGGCGCCGCCGCACTCGTCACCATTTCCGCCCACTCCTCCCAGTCCTCACTTTCTTTATTCTGAAAAAGTTTCAAAATTCAACAGTCATCACTCAAGCATGAGTCACTCAGATTTCGCTTTTCTGTTTACTGACAGTTCAGTTAGGTAAGCTATGCGTCACAAAAGAAAAAGTGGACCAGATGTGACCTAAAATGTAGTTTTACTTTACTTTCGAGTCCTTAAAAAACAATTTGGTCCAATTTTCTCGGTTACTAGCCGGTACAGAAAGTTATGAATGGGATGTGCTAAAGAAGATCACGAAAAATGAGACTGAGAGGTGTAGTTAATCGAGCATCGTAGGGCATTGAAACTGGATGAATTTATTTAACTACATTTGCCTCAGAATATCACACAACAAACAGTTGTTTGACAAACAACAACTTGGCAGACGGACACCTACTCATGCGCATGAGTCAACCAGAAGTACCTAAAACTCTTTCAAGAACGATATATTCCTTCGTTCTGTGATATAAATTGTTTAGAAGTGCAGTAAATAAGCGCGCAGTGACGTTAACTCATAACCTTGCCAAATCGTCTACAAGTAGGTACTTATTACATACATGCTGAAAATTTAATGGCTCGACAGCTATGACGTGCGGACACCATACAATGAATTCGAATTTGATGAAAATCTGAAACGGATACTTTATATCCCTAGTTTTATTACAGCGTGTGTGTACCGGCACAGTTTTTAATTTTTTATTTCTCGCTAATCGCTTTATGGATCATAATGTTCTAATTTACTGTTATGCTCTCATTAGATGAATCTTTAGCTAGCTATTATTTCAGAAATAGGTCTCGGTTGATCATTGATGGAACGCTTACTACATTTATAATTTATATTTTCCTTCTTCACAATATAACACATAAATTGTGCATTTGAAATGTATTTGAATCGAACGTTTAAAGTTGTTTTCATTTTTTATCTCTGCTGGTTAGTGGAGTCAGTGGTCTCAGAATCCGTCATTAGTAACGATTTGTTAATAAACGTACAATGTATGTTTTGAGCAAATGTTGTTTATGCATCTTACACGCATATGAGATGTAGGAGACTACTGTAATACGAGTGTCAATATTTGACCACGAGTGCCCTGCATGATCTATGATAAGAACAAGAAACAAACCGCATCCGTCATGAATGGTGAAATTGTTCATTCTTTAGTAAGATTAAAATATTAAATATTTGTGGGAAGCGACTGCGATTGAATAGCAGACGTGGGTGTAAGTACCTAGTGTTAGATACCGAGTATACGTCAATCGATTACATGAGGAGATCACGAATCACATTTCATGTAGTGAACTCACACAATGTAGGTACATACATATACAATGTACAACACTGTTCTCATCAAATTGAAGATGCTCATGTGTGAAGCAGATTTCACACCTCGCATATAAGATTAAAGTTTATTCACGTCTATTTTGCTCAGCAATTTATGAAGACGTGATTTCTATTTATTTGCATATAGTTTTACCTCTGATAGTAAATCGGTCAGGATCTGTAGAGGCGCGCGAGTCACACTTTCGTCTTGTAGAGGCGTAGTCATCACAAAGTCCACCATATTCTGAAAACATATAAATTGTATTAATGAATATTGTACATGAATAAACCGCCTAAATTGATAACAGGGATGTCCCCGTAATTGAATTAATATTTACCTTTAATTCTTTCAAGACGACTTCTTTTCTCACAGTCTTTGTTAGGAAATTCTTGTACCTTATCATGTTTCTCTGTAAAATGAACGTATATATTAGAATATGTCGTGCAAAGTAAACAATTAGACATAACCACAACAGGAAGGAAATACGTAAGTGTCTACTCACCCTCCATATAATGGAATGATACCATTGGTCCCGCGTATAAGCGTCGTTAGCCTATAAAATACAGACGTCTTTATTAGAATGATATTGTTAGGTAAACTAGACAAGAAATATAATATGCATGTTTCCTATGCATCAGGAATAACCCCTTCCTATATAGAATTATACCTGTAGCAGAAGAGATCCATGAGGCATGACTATTCGAAGGCAGTATTTCCTGGCAGGATCCCAACGTGAGATGCAGTACACCTCCTGCATACAACTGTATGACAACGGATGCTCTAACAAGCCGGAGGGCTGAAACAATAATATTAAAAAAATCAATAAGCACACATTTTTCTTCCTACTCTTTGCAATCCAAGTACATGTCCAACATAGAACTCTTTATTTGAGTGTATGGATAATTAAAAAATAAGGGTCTACGGTGACATGTGCCGCTACACAATATATTACTCAGTCAATAAACTTTAGGTAACCTTCAATGCATTTCTGAATATCATGTCATGTCCAAACGGTATTAAAGGTACTAGACTCTGGACTCATATTATTAGGGAAGTATAAGCAGACATTAGGCAGTTAAACATTAACAAACTGTTCAGCTTAAATTGATTAAATGCGTCATGCCTATTGAGGGTCATTCACGACAACAAACTAGGTTTTGTGTTCCAATTTTTGTATAAGTGTTCCAAGAGCTAATAAGTAATAATAAGGATTAAAAAGTGTCATACATTATAATGCTAATTGTAGAAAGTACACTGCAAATCAATGCATTTCACAGCATTCCGCTAACAAGAGGTGTAGAAACTACAGTATTATTTCAGTAGCTTAACGAGAACTTGAACCGACATATGACTGTATGCATGTCCCTACTTTTCTGGGGGCATCGCAAAAACTAAATAAGGGATTATACATGTTGACAGAGGCCGGGCAGTACTCTGATAAACCTGAACTCTAAAGTAGGTGAAGAATTCTCCACTTATGAAGCGAAATCTCTTGTGTTGAGAAAAGCTGTTGCAGCTGTTGATTGTGACGCTCTGGTGATGCTGATTTTGGAAACGGAATATTTTGAAACGTTTAAGTTCAGGTGACCACGGCTTCAATCACTTCATGCTTAATTAATGTCCAGAGGAATTTTAATGGAATTACTGATAAAATGAATTATTAATAACAATATATCCCTATTCATGATTTACCTACCTATACTTTGATAAATTGTACCGTTACCGTTAAGTATTAAATTATTCCCCTCATAAAACATTCCTATAGTTCCTATACTTTGCTGTAAACTAACAGGAAGCGTTAACCTTTGCACTGGAAGTTAATTGAAGTACAAATTTAATTAATTGTTGAAGATTTCTGTGCGTATACTTGTACACGCAAAGCTGACTCATTGTTCTACTAATATGATAACATGGCCTCATAATGATGACTCTTCCCTGTTACTGCCCAAAAGGAAACATTGCACATTTTGTTTACCTTTGTTTAATTAGTCAATATACAAAATTAAGTCTTTGTAATAAACATAATAAGCTGTGACGACACTATCCCTTTATGCTACCGCAGATGTCGTAAGAAGACATCATAGTACATTTTGACGGAGACTGAATATTAGCGTTCTGATAAACCTGAAATTTTTTAAATGCTTCTTTTCTATGGGATATGAGGCAAACGAGATGGTTCGCCTGATGGTTAGCGATCTGCGCCGCCCATGGACATCCGCAACACCAGAGGAGACACAGGTGCGATGCTGGCTTATTAAAGAGGAATCTGCTCTTTTCTTGAAGGTGTGATGTGATTTGTAACTCTTCATCTCGCCTCCAAAACGTAAAGATTGTTGCAAACGGTTTTATGTAAAGAAACAAAGAAATCTTTGTACTATTTCTTTATCTTTTCGACTAGTTCATAGTACACATGTACCTCTATATGACAGTGCCTATCTGATTTTTTATTGATTTGTTTATTTTCAGTAACAGATATGTTTTCACTATCTGCTTTTCTTATAGCGATGATGTAAACTAACAATTTTGTTTCCTCAAAACAATATTTTTCCTTAATATCAATAATGCGTAGGTACACTATGTACCATCAATAGCGTTGTCATGCTCAAGGTATGTGGGTTACGAGTACAATACACAAAATATTCTGATTACTTTAAAAATAAATCTGCATTTCGTATCATGCGTAAATACGATGCACCTGCTACACCAATACGTGCATAAATATTCAACATTAGTGTTCGATAGACGGTTTAGTGCTGTAAATAGCTTGCAACCTATTTTCGTGTCTTGTAGAATCGGTGGGGGAATTGGGTCAGGTGAAGGGAAGGGCGCAGTGATCGCTTTGTGAAGAATACTTGGTAGGCGGGGCAGTGTACTGCGATGTATGACGTGGCGGAGCAATGCCCCTGCGCGAGTGGCACCGGGCCCGCGGCCGCGGCGCTCCGTGACGTCACGGCACACGGCTACTCACTACCCTCACTTGCCCCCGCCGTACACATTGATATTGTCTCCTCTCAGCTGACTTACACGTCACCTCGCATCCAAGGTTTATCACCCTTTCAAGGTACATGGCGAATTTAAACTGCAAACATCTAATGTTGCAAAGAAGCAGCTACTTACATGAAATACATTTCTATATTACAGTTGTAAAGGAACACATTTTATTTTATTGATGTTACAGGTTTCACTATGATCAGTTTTTAAATTAAAAATATCAGATGTGCAGTGATTCACTCCGACATGTATTCCTGAAAATGTTATCAGAATCGATATACGACTTTTATCATTGTTATTGTTTTCAGCAAAATTTATGAATGACTCCTTCATGTCTACAATTATTACGAAAATGTCCACATTTATACTGAGTGTTGATATAATATTGTGGTAAACAGACCACGTAGAGACACTACGAGGCCTACCACCGACACTGAGTCACGTTTTAAGTAATGATCCCATAGAAATCTAATTTAAGTAATGATGTGAGCTCACCTGATTCGAATAACAATACATTATATAGCACACAATGATCTAACGAAGGCTAGTAGACGTCATTATCCAATATAAATGCGATCACACAAATAATACCTACATTATAGGAAAAATTAAATTATAATATTATTATAGAAAACCGCACAAAATAGTATGTACCTCTACTTTAATTAATCCATATATCATATATTACCATCAATACAAAAATGGATAAGAATAACAAAATTAGAATTACCAATTAATGTAATGATGTAAACGACCGCGCCTTTGACGTCAAAGTTTATTATTTATTTTGTAAATGTAATTAATAGGTAATGAAAAAAAATAATAATTGAAACGAGTTTTTTCACTATTAAATTATGATATTAAATTAGCTCTTGCGGTGCGGTAACAAAGAATAGGTATTCTATTTTACAGGTTGACGTCAAAAGCATATTAATGGCAAATACGATAGTTACGGAAGAATGTACGAGTGTAAAAATAACAGTTAGTTTCGATAGTTCCCGAATAGTTTGTGACACGTGTATGTACACGTCAGTTTACTTCCCTGTGCCAGTCTCTTGGGCTTAATAATTATCTAGTGTAGCTTAAACAGTCACGTCCATAACCAATGCCTTAAATAAGCGTTTCGTAATCCAAGTTTTCATAGACATACGAATGTCTATTAACAAATGTTTCATTTTGGAAATTATTGGTGTCTACTTAATGTTATTTGGAAATTATTAGTACCAACGCCTGAAATTGTCATGAAACTATGTCCGGTATATATTCACCCTCTATTATATGGGACTCTTTAAATAATTGGTTAAATTGGTTAACTGGGCGTTACACCTCTGTCAGCCCCATAAGCGATTTCTTAAACTATTGGTTTATTGTTTGTTTTATAATATTTCTACCGAGTTTAGAGGTACAATTTGTCATTTAAGGACTTTTCTGTTTTGTTTTGTTTTTTTTTCTTTTCATAATTATGTGAAATGTATAATGCCTTTCCAGGTAAACTTCCTCTGCCCAAATTAACGGACTATGATTACTTTAGTTTTTCTAAAAATTTTACCACCCTTTGAACGCATACTTTATGTGGAAAAAAATTAATTTGACTTTTGTGATTAACGAAATAAGACCTAATATTGGAAAGTATTTATTAATTTTTGGTTACGCAGGTTTTGGGGGCCCTCGTGGTCCGGAGCCCCGTATAATGGATGTTGCAGATACAGCGCTTGCTACGCTCCTAGATTAAACTAATCTTTTCTTCAGGGATAAAGGTTACTGAGATTTCACCGCTTTCGTGGTTATATATTTTCAGTAATTCGTGTTACACTTAGCATAATCTACTGAAAACGGCTACGAACTGGCTACAACTACGAACTCTTAGTTCAGAAAACAGATCTCACATTTATTCAATAATATTGACTGTCATGAGATGCCTATGTATTCCAACAAGAAAATTGCATTAATTGTAAAACCTTATTCAATATTTATCATATTGTATCCAGACGATGTATCATTTGGAAAAAATGCTACAGAGTGTGACGTATATAATGTTGAAACTGATGTTTACTTGAAATAGATCGGATAAACAAGTATATCAGTAAATATTATCCCGAAGCCCTGTTAACTAGGCGCGGGTTTTCCCACATTACAGCAAACACTTCTTCAGAAACATTAAAAAACATGAGGATAAATGAAGAAATTTTCTCATGTTTTTGACATTCTCTTGGTATGTTCTCTCATAGCATATATATCACTTATTCATAGCCGTAACCGCATTATACCTAAATCAGGGAAAGGGTACTTTTGTGGCCGTATTTTATGAATGGAAATTATAATTATGTAATGACTTTTATATATTAAAACCGGCCTATATGTTGTTATTTTTTAAGCTTATTTCACATCATATACATAAATAAAGCGTGCAGTGTGAAGAGCCGTGCCCATATTATTATTTTAAATGGTTTATAAAGACTATACTAAAAATATATTTTTATAAAAATAAGATACATCTGGAAAAACCTGAACGCAGACTTCTAGTGTTATGACATGTAAACTTAATACATATTTGTTAAACAAATGATAACCGGCAAGTGTTCAGTTTCTTTGAGGTCTGATACACAAATAATTCTGATAACTTATGACGTGAGCAAACCGTTGCCACGTTTTTCTGTGCTTTGTACAAGTGATAATAAGATGTGGTCACGTGATAGCTTTCGCTTCGAGACTACGAGACTACCGCCACGAGAGACTGAAGTCTAATTACTCGTACATTCCACCAAGCGCCCAGCGTCCGAATGTATACGGACGGTTGCACACGTA